TAAATTTAAATGGTAACAATGAATATACAAAACATCAAGGTTTTTATTTTTGTACTTACTTTTGTTCTACACGTTTTACTTTTAAAGATTTCAGTACCTAAAAACGTCAGAAATTTCACTATTTCTCGGCCAGGAATATGGCCAGTGGCCACCTTAAGCAAAAATTGACACATGCAGACTGTCAGCAAAATTTAGTTATCCCGGAAACATAGATTTATTTTTTTGTGCAAATTGGACATTTTGTAGAGGAAGACCTAATTTATCGAATTTGACATGAAAATTTTCCAGTTTTTATACAGGGTGGTCAAAGAAAAAATATCGAATATGAAGTTCAGAAATTGTGGAAAACTCGAAATTTTTAAATGGAAACCCCTAATTTTTTTAACGTATTCACATTCAAAATTAAGTGTAACTTTGTTAAAGTTTCCCTATACGTCCCTTTTCTTAAAATGATATTTCCATTTGTTTCGCACATTTTAGGTTGGCCGTGACAGGTAAGTAACAATCAACATGACAACTGTCACAAGTTTTTATCTGTCAAATTTATTTTAATAAATGTTCAAAATGTCTTCCTTCAACTTCTCAACTTCTAAACATTTTTCACCACAAGGAACTAAATAAATTTGTCTCCTAGTCGCGAACGGTCTAACTTCTCCGAAAATTATGTTCACTGTCAACATTAGACATACAAGACAATAGGTCTTGATGTTGTCCACAATTTTAGAGAAGTTTAGGCAGACCGCGGCCAGAGGGCATCGCAGCCGATGTCTTCAGATCTCAAAACACGTACCATAGAAAGAGTTGATTTGTTAGTTAAACTGTTATAATAAAGTAATAAAAAATAAAATGTAATAAATAATAAAGATAGTGTCGATCGTGAGCCTCGTAGATTCGAACAAACATCAAAATTTGTGTGCAAACTTCTTACTTTCGTCTTACTTTATTTAACTCATCATAACAGTTTATAAGTCAGTGTCAAAAGTCTGCGGCGACAATACCGGCAAGATACTTAAGGAAAGATCTACAGTACCACTGGATTTTAATTGCAAAAAATACCAACGCAAATATCTCACTATTGATAAATGGTCCATAATAGTTATAGAATGCCTACAGTAGCTTATGAAACCAATGGTTGCAATGTCTAAGCTCCCACAAAAATACATCATTCGATGTGGTGTTTCAACATTAAATATTTTTTCTCTTTTGTAGGACATAGAAAACACTCTTCTTCTTCTTTTCTATAGTAGGCGACTAAACAAAAAATTTTGAATTTGACCAATTCCCTGTCCTTAAGAATTAAATTTCTCATACTTGCAAAGTTGCCAGGATAAAACCTGCTGCTACATCCTGTCCCTGTATGTGATACTAAAGATTGTTTTCTTAAATTGCGCGCACATAATTAACGAACAAATCAAACTTTTTAATCATGGCGGAAACACAAAGAGAACGGAATTAAAATATTCATTTGCTCGTAACATTGTTGTGGCGCTGTTTCTCTAAAATTTACATACGCGGCGAACGAAAGCTACAAAGCATTTTCTGCTAATGGGCATTATACTCGGTTTCTAGTCTAGAAACACTTGCTTTTAACTGTGAAAGCTTTCTTTGTTTAATTTACATACTGTATGAGCTGACACCTTTGCGAGTATGCATTCATTATAGGATAATATTCAGGCAAAAATGACGTTATCTTTCTCCTTTTAAAGGTAACTTCGTATACGACAAATACTGCGTTATTCATTTCCTTATCGATTTTTGCTTCAAAGCGTTGATCATTGCTTTGATCCAAGTTTTGGCACTCCTTTAATATATTTCTTAATAAAAATAGTTGTAGGTAAGTGCAGTAGATAGTAAATAATGTGCCATCATGATAAGTTTATTATCAATTTTTTCAAAAATCTCGTTTATCAAATTTCACAATAGATTTTTTTATTCTTTTGGAAAACATATTGTTAAAATTTGATTAAAACATAAAACAGTCATCCCTGACGTCATTTCAAAAACAAACAATAATAAGTCCTGAAATTATGGTAGGTACCTTTTCCAAAATACTCTTTATACTATACTGGATTTTTATTGCAAATAAATAAAATAAAGTTGACTATCATTAACGAAAATGTTAGTTAATGTAATACCTGAAACGAGACCTGAAAGTTTAAAGCTCGATTTAGCTCTTAGTGTTTACTGTTACAAAGTTATTCATTCAAATAACGACAGGAGTATTCGTAGATGATTTGAAATATGCAATGAAATTTGAATAGGATAGGTGATTCACGCGGATCCCTGTGTCTAAATTCGAATTTCTCAGATTAAAATTTTTAGTAAGTAATCTAATCAGTAATTGACATACGGGGTGTCCCTGAAAAGGGTGAACAACGCTTGACCACGGGTTCCTTGGATGAAAATAAGACTATTGAGCCTAACTTACCTATATACAAAAGTGCACGCCTACTGAGATATAGCCTTTTAAATATAGAATGGATAACCTAGTTTTTTTCAAATAATTTGAAAACTATTTTTCTTAGAAACTTCAAATTTGGTACACATATTTTTTTATACAAGGGCAACGTAAATAAAAAATTTGGTGATAATACATATACAGGATGCTCTCTTTCTAGTGCCTGTACGCCACTTTCTATCCCGTAATTTTTTTGTGTGTACGCCAGTGAGGCTAAAATTTAAAAAATAAGCACTATTTTAGAAGATTTTTTTGCTCTTACAAAATTTTGATATCGTTTATGGATTTCGAGTAAAATTGGCATTTTTATATATTAAATACATAGACAAAAATTCCGATTTGTAACAAATAATTTATAACTACAGCCTCAAAGCAGGGAATAATAATGAAAAAACGTCACATTAAAAAAAAGTAACTACACATTTTTAATATTGGTATTATCAATGAATAAAATAAAAAATCAACACTAGTATTTTAAATAAACAATATCAACTAATGTAAGAAAGTCAACATTAACATTTTAAATAAACCTAAATTGATATTTGTAATCACATTAAAATAATGTTACAGTAAATGCTCAAAGTGACTTCCTTGTTTTTAAACGCAAGCATTAATTCTTAGAGAATTAAAATGAATTTTATCCAATAATAGTGCATTAACTAACTCTCATAACATTAATTTCATTTTATATTCTTTCGCATAATTAGTTTTCTGTATTTACTGAAAAGTTATACACTGTTGTCCTCAACGCTCCCCAAAAGAAACAATTACATGGGTTCAGGTCTGGGGATTGAGGTGGCCATTAGGATAGTCACCTGTAATAACTGGTCTTTTAGTACTCTATTAACGGAACTTTTTGAACTCTGCCGCTAAACGCCTAGTATTTACTTGGTCATGATTTAATGTCACAGGTAAAAAATGTCCTGTTTCCTGAAGGCGTCTCTCCGCATTAGAAAATATTTTGTGGCTTGGAATTCTTCGATCAGGAAATCTTTCAGCATATTATGTTCGAACAGTAGCACGACAATTTCCTTCAAACCCAAAACTAATAACATATCAGTTTGTTCAGCAAAAATATAAATTGCAATAAAAAACAAAGTAAGCTAAATTAAATCACACCTGAACCTTTTAATTATTGTTATGAATTTGTTTCCTTGTTATATGGCACCTCGTACTGGACTGTTCTAATTATTATCTCAAACTGATTCCGTCGTCATTGGTAGACACACAAAAAAGTTACGGGATAGCCATCAGTGGCGTACAGCCACTAGAAAGAGAGCATCCTGTATATGTATTCGCGCCAAATTCTATATTGACATTACCCTTATATAAAAAAATGTGTACCAAATTTGAAGTTTCTAAGAAAAACAGTTTTCAAATTATTTGAAAAAAATAGGTTATCTGTTCTATATTTAGAAGGTTATATCTCAGTAGGCGTGCACTTTTGTATATAGGTAAGTTACACTAAATAGTCTTATTTTCATCCAAGGAACCTGTGGTCAAGTGTTGTCTATCCTTTTCAGGGACACCCTGTATATTTGACGCCTCTGTTAAGTGTCACAAATTTTCTTTTTTTCTCATGGCAAAATTTGATACATTTATTTTGCAGCAGAAATTTTTGAGCAGGTAATGAATTATTGTAATGGATTTTACTAGAAAACGGCTCATGCTATTCAAATCTAACAAGAGTACATTTTTATGCAAAATATGATAAATTTTCATATTTTCGGTTCAGGAACTAGAAAAATTGCGTATAAAAAAAATTGTTTTCATACGTTCCTGTAGCAAATTTTGATTTGTATATTATACCGATTATTAAAGTCTGTATCAGACAATGCAATTTTGTTGCGGCGACAAAATTGCGGGGATTTTTTTGCGGGTCTAAAATTGCATGCTTATTATCACACAATGGCACAGAAATTGCTGCAATTTGTTTAGTTTGCAGTAGTGTTACCAACTGTGCATAATTAAACATGTAAAATTTCCTTTAAGTATCTTGTAAACAATTATTTTTGATTCAAGCAAAACATTGCAATGGTGAATATTTTGAATCTTAACAAGCGCTATCTAGATAGCTTTGATTTTGCTTGGTTTTGGAGCACAGAACATAGGCGACATCTGAAGTCTGTTAAAACTCCTCACATAATATAGTCACCTGTTTAAAACATTTAATGACTGAATTTCAGCAAATTATACTTTTAACGAAATTTTGTGCTAATTTTAATTACAAATTCATTTTTCTTGGATACGTTTATTAATACTCGAACACTATTTTAGACACATAAGAATTGTGTTTTTTTTTTAATGTTGATGTTTATTACCAGCCCTCAGATTCTTACAGAATTTTTTTATACCCTACATAATCTTATCTCCATGGAGACCTTATACAGGAAAATTCAGGGCGTACAAATGTTTATAAATATTATTAAACATGCGAGTGTAAAAGGTAAATGAAAAATTCAGGAAACAGGAAAAATATATCCTTATTTATTAGAACATTTCAAAAGTAAACAAAATAAAATAGAACAAAGCTAAGTAATGAATGAAACAACAAACAAAATTATCGATAAGATATATAAAAGTGATGCTACTAATACAGCATTTTTCCTCTTAGGTTTATTCCCATGATTGAAAGAACATTGCATCCTGAAACAAAATATTTACTGTAATTAACAAAAATATGTGTTTATTAAAGTTTTTTTACGAAAACACAAGCAAAATGGATATCTTCTGAACTTACGATTAAAAAGCAAGCCCCCAATAATGTAGCCTTTATCTCAACAGCCAAATCCAGTGGGAATGTGATCCTTAAGTTATAGGCACTCTGACAAGATGAAGACCACTCCTTTGTAATTTTACCTATCGGTGCTGACCTGCGACTGGACTTTATTTGAAAATCTACATTGGCAACCATACTTAAGAAGTACGGAGAATATGGACCAACAATCCTCAGAACAATGTCACCGCCTGCGTTTTTCACAACAAAATTGTAAGAAATGGTCATCTCCTGTTCTACAGTGCCCAAAATGATGTCGTGAGATGCAGAAACAGTCATCGTCTGTAACTTTTAATAACATAGCGTTTGAAAGAGATAAACATGGAATGTCAATCGGGTTACCAGACCTATTTCATAACAGACCCGGAGATATGACTCGTTTGTATAATTGATGCCTAAAAAAGGAGCACGGAGATGTACCATCAAAACCCGGAGACTCCGGGTCAAATCCGGAGATCTGGCAACCCTAGATGTCAATAGCTTACTTGTAAGCCAATAGACCAGCAATCACCGCAACCAAAAGGTCTGTGAAAAGACAACACTTCTTTTTTGGAGTCGTCCAGAATTATCATATCAGAAGCTGATAAAGCACCACAACACTGATTTGCATAGTCAGAGTCCTCGACAGGATGATAGATTTTTTGGCCAAAGTTATTTTTTACCGTAAACTTACTTTTAAATCTGGGTGAAACTAGAACAAGACACATAAATCTACAAGGAGCATTTGAAGTCTATGTCATGTCAGGAAGTGATTTCTTTCTTATTTTGCACCAAAAAGTATTAATGAACCAAAGCTCTAAAGTCACAGGATATTAAGATAGTGTGTCGAAGTTCTAAGATATCAGATCACCAAAGATGCCTAACTTAGGTTGATGGAAATTGGACTAATTGGTATACAAAGTGCCATACAGGGAAATTGTCACTAAATAATAGTCCCAGAAGTTTGTCATTACTGAGTTTTGTGAAAATTAGATAAGTCTAAAGGCATCTTCCACTTGATTCGAAAAACATCTCGTTTGTTATTTTTTTAAAAATAAAATTACATATCTAAAATTAATCGTATCACAAAAAAAATGTACAAGAATTTTTTGTTCAAAACTTAATTTTTAATGTGTTGTAATTGTCAAAAACTGCAAAACAAATTGCCATATCAATATTATAATTTTTTTGTGACAACAGTTCATATTAGAAAATCAATGGTTTATTAAGGTTTTTTAGGCCAAAATAACCAAATTATCCATGTTTCTGTTCCTACATAGTTTTTATGTACACTAACCTTCCAATATTTCCACGTTTTGTCGAACTACAAGTTCACTAGCTTCGGCAAGTTTTTCTAATCCTGGGAAACAGTTGACAATACTTTGTGCAGGATTCAAGTAAACCTCTGAGTAATACGAGAATATCAGTAATAAAACAAGCATAAACTAAATTAATATTTTGCTTCTGTAGCATAATAACTTACCGTTTAATGAAGCAGCTCCTTCAGGTCCCAAAGGCTGTTCAGTGATGGGCTCACTCACACCATGCAATAACTGAGTACATTGATAACCGTATGGGCCAAATGCAGGTGGAGGTGCCGAGGCAAATGGATAATTGCCTTCTAAAAAGTTGAGTTCAATTCGTGACAGCATCTTTAATAAATTATTCTTACCTTTGTAAATATTAGCGACATTAGCACACATTCTCCCATGATCTTGTTCTTGCTGATGAGATGAAGGCAGGGACATTTTGTCGGATTCAAAAGTAAATTAACTGAAATTTAGTATAAGTTTATCCATAAATAATAAATGTGATTTTTTACCAAACCTCAGAGAATCAGAATCAAAATAATCTCTCCTTATGCACCACTGTATACAAATCAATTATCAATAATTATACTGTGTTATGCACCCACTCCAAATCTAAACCCTGGATCAGCAAATATGATGGGAAAGGGGTCGCGATCAAGTGGGGAAGGAGAAATAGTCAAAATCCATGTTTCCAGAGGACCAGTTCGTTTTCGTTAATAAACTTGGTGTCAAATATGTATCTTAAAAAACAGAGATGCTTGTTTATGTTTTAAATATTTTTAATCTATGAATTCTAAATTAATATACTGCATAGCAGTTTTACTGGAAAAAATTTGGAAAATCAGACTATAGCCTTTCATTAATTTTAAATTTATTTTTCGTCGAAATTGCTTTTATTTAGTAGGTGGATAGATATCCAACTGAAAATATAAGGATTTTAGGACTTACAAAATTTTCTGAATTGTAGATTTGTTGAAAATATATTTGAAATAAGATCTGCTTTGACTAGTTTCTTGAATGCATCATGCCTATCACTTTCAGATTGGTCGATTGTTATTTGAAGTATTGTTTATTATTTTGAATTCCTGTCCAGTACATCTTCTATATAAACCGATATCGGTCCAGATTTCCCGCTTTATTGCTTCTAGCTAATCAGAAAGAAGCGCGGGAGAAAATTGTTTTTAAAATTCTGACAGTTACCACTTCTTGTTTATAGTATATGATCCCTTACCAGAAAACTTTTCAAGTTGAAAATAACAAACATTTTTATATTATTCTTCATTTTTTTAATGAAACAGATTTCTCTTGCAATAACGCGACGCGTTTAATCAAAACGTTATACTGTTTCATATGTGGACCGGGGCAACAAGCTATCCATCAATCTGTCCAAATGGCATGTGTTGTTTGATTTATGGCGACTTCGTCGTTCGATGCATGCATATAACGATTATTTAATTCATTCATTGACTTACCCGTCCTCCAGGTCAAGTCGTTTGTCAAAAACGATGGAGAATACGGCTATATTAATATTTTAATATTAACCTCCGGTTCCCCTTGTTGACAAATGGAACTTTCAACGTGAAACAAATTGCTTATTCGTCTTATATTTGGGCGATTTTTCACATATTGCGTTCATGCAGGACAGCTTGACTTGTCATTAATATTTCCACAGTTTAAAATTTGATTAAGTTTTTGATGTGAAATCGAAGAAAATCCTACAGATTGGTTGTATATTGTGCCTTATTTTATTTTCACTCAGGTCAGGATGAAAATGTAACCAAAAAATTGTGAAATTCGTCAAACGGGAATAACGTTTGCACAAAGTATAGGTACAAATTACATATGAAAGTTGATCGAAATATTCTATTTCGGTCAACGATATGTATTTGACTCAAATTTGTAATCTAGAACTAGACTAATTTATTACAAAATATCGACAGAATAACTAAATGTTTGCCTAGACAGGGTTCCTCATACTTACATATATACATGAATATTTCTAGGATGCACCAAGGGCTGCCTGTTCCTTCAAAGCTTGGCCACAAAGAAAAAAAATTATGCGTATCAACGCGACCGATAATTTTTTGATATCGTTACTTAAAGTATACCGTGAGCGGTAAAAATATGGAATATATTTATTTAAAAATCAGATGTTCGTTATTTGAAAAATCGCTCGGACCCGTCGAATTATATTTTTAGTTGAGCATTTTCTGAAGCAATTTTCATTTATTCAGGGTGACCCAAAAAAAAGTTATGAAATGGCGCGCGTCTGAATATAGAATATGGAATCCAATTTTGTGAAACCATTTCAACATTATCCGACCGCAACCTACAGTTTCATCAGCAAATCCTTTTCTCAGACGAGGCAACTTTCTGTTTGAATGGTATTGTTAATTGTCAAAACTGCAGGTATTGGAGTCAAAACAATCGTCATTGGATGACTGAGGCACATACTCAGTAGGTACCCACAGAAATTGAATGTGTGGGCAGGCATAATTAATGATCAGGTTCTTGGCCCTTTTTTCTTCGAAGAGAACCTCACGGGAGAAAGATATTTGGCCTTCCTTCAGTTTAACTTTTCGCAAATGAACCTGACATGCCAAGCGATGCCTTGTATTTTCAACTGGATGGCGAGCACCTCATTTTTCTCGGCAAGTCCGAGGTTATTTAGACGAATGTTTTCCTGGACGTTGGATTGGAAAACGAGGACAAATAGAGCGGCCTCCGAGATCACCCGATCTTACTCCTTTGGATTACTTCTTATAGGGTTATTTAAAATCCAAAGTTTATGTAAATCCACCGCAAAACATGGAGGACTTAAAAACCCGAATCGGCAGGAAATTAGGAATATTGACAGAAACGTACTAAATAATGTTCAAGATGAGTTTGTACATAGGCTTGGGTATTGTCAAGAAAACAATGGATGGCAATTTGAACATTTAATTTAACTCTGTTCGTTTGAATTAGTTTATTATAATCCTCAATTTTTTGCAAATTTTTCTTACAGTAGCTTGAATGATTGTATGATTTGGATATTTGTTATTGAATATTTCACATTATTCTTGCTGTGTTCTGGCTTTGTCAGTGTGTACCAAACAAATTAAAATTAAGAATAAAGATTCATTAGCTGTGCTTAAATATTTGAAGAACACAAAATGTATTTAGCAGATTATATAATTCATTAGAAATTTAGCCAATAGCAATTACAAATTTTACGTAGTTACTATGTATTGATAAGCGATTATACTCTTGAAGACGTGGTATAACCGTTTTGGTGCTTCACCTCCTCCAACAATGTGAACTATGTCATGGTAACGATAGTTTTAACACTTGTCAATAAACGTCAAAAAAAAATGGAACGCTTCGGTTCAAGCTCTGAATTATATAATCTTATCGAATACCACTCGAGCAAACGAAAATATTCGATTATACCAACCTCCTCACTCGACGTATATCCTTAAAACACCACTCCAGCTACGCTGTCGTGGTGTTTCGCAGAATACGTCTCGTGACTCGGAAGTATAATCGAATATTTTCTATGCTCTTGTGATATTATAACTGAAAGTACACCACTTCCCACTGACTTTGACGTTACAATCCTTACGTGCTGAGAGTAATTTTTGAAAATTTTCCATATTCTATATTCAGACGCCATTATCTCGAAAACGCTTGAAGATAGGTATAGGTTATGTTACAAAAAAAATGATCAGAATTCCATGGAGAATTGAATAAAAATACAAAAAAGTGGGATTTCCATTTAAAAAAGTTAGCCTTTCATAACTTTTGTTTGTGTCACCCTGTATAAATGAAAATTGCTTCAGAAAATGTGCAACTAAAAATATAATTCGACAGGTCCGAGCGATTTTTCAAATAACGAACATCTGATTTTTAAATAAATATATTCCATACTTTTGCTGCTCGCGGTATATAAAAACCGATTTGAATTCTACGTTGTCAGAGACATCTACCGGTAGAAATGTGCAATTTAAGAAGCAGGGTGCATGGAACCTTTTTTATCGAGGACGCATTAAGAGTTGCATACGTCCAAAAATGTTCCCCTGCGAAAATACGGGTTGAAAGTTTAGGAAAAAGGAAATTAATATTTTCAAAACGCACAAAATGTCAAAAATGCAAATGACACATTCGAGGCCAACTAAGTTTATTGCAAAATTGTATTCAATAATTATTACATTCTTTGATTACGGACAATACAACGGGTTTTATTTATTTTTTACTCAAAAATGGCACATCGCAGGACAAAAAGTCAAGAGAGCTCTTGTGTTTTAAATTGATCGGGAATTAAAAAAATTATTTTATTTGGGAAAAATACCAGTGGCGTACGATTTTTTTTCTAAAAAAATATCAGTCAGGCTCGTACACACGCCACTGTTAGAGCTAAAAATTATGTTTGTATTGAAAAACACGCACATTTATTAACTATCACTATGTACCAAATAGCACTGAAATATCTCAAGCAGTTTCAAAAATATTAATTTCCTTCTTTTCTCTAAAATTTTAACACCCTGCATTTTCGCAAGGGAACATTTTTGGACCATATAAAGCAAACTATCATTAATTTTCCATGAAGAATCATACCAGGGCTGGATTAAGGGGGGCTACGGGGGCTGTAGCCCCGAGCCTCACAAGATCAAGGGGCCTTGGCAAGATGGGGCAATTTTTTTTTCCAGCGTTTAGGTTTTAAATTTTATGTCGACAATTTGTCGATTGCGTGACCTTTTTTTAGAATCAAAGAAAAATTGTTTTGAAATATATCGTTCATTTTATTTTTTTTTAATAGAAAGTTTAATCCACTATAGATTAATCTGGCCCTGAAGCATACCCTTAAATATTCCCATGCCATTAAGGAACATTCTGTATAAAAAATTAAACGCTGTTCATTGGTAAATGCATCACTTGAGAACGGCTGAATCAATTTGGCCAATTTTTTTTTTAATGTTCATAATAGTCCGTGTATGGTTTTTAAGGAAAGAAAAATTGGAAAAGTTTCCCGGAAAATTCTGGAAAAACAGTGCTTTTTTCTATATGATTTTTATATGAAATTTACAAAACGATCACAAACAAATTTATTGAAATTTGGTCAGGACGTCTGTTGGGTCAGCTAGTTTTTAATAGATATATTTCAACTCTAAACAGGCTTTATTAAACAAAGCAAGTGCAAGTTACCTTGAAATTCGAAATCTGGTAATTCCATTGTGACACAATCGTCCTGTAGATTATTACACATTTTACTTGTACTTGTCAAGTTATGAAGACCATGCTCTGTCGCAAACAACATAGAGATTGGTTTAGATCAGCGGTATTCAAAATGTGTTCCGCGACTTAGCCAAAAATGTAATGCGCTTAAAGTAGAATTTGAAATGAGATTGCAACTTACGACAATAGCATCTAATTTCAACATATTTAAAAATATTCAAGCACATCCCAGTCATTGAATATATTATAGTTACTCTTTTTTTAATTATGCAATAAATATTTACTTTAAACTTTAAAGTATTGGTTTAATTTTTACTTAGGAATATTTATTTTGGTAATTATAGTATTTACAAATATATTATATAATTATTAGTAGAAAATGTGTTTGAAAAATTTTTTAGGTGTGGGGGTTCCTCAAAAAATCGAAATGTTGGCTGGGTTCCGCAAGTCGCAAAAGTTTGAAGACCGCAGGTTTAGATGCTTCAAAGATAATGAACGACTTGGCGCACTGAAATGGTTTGAAGATGAAGAATTGAAGGCATTACTTCATGAAGGCTCATGTCAGATGTTAGCTGAACTTGCAGAATCAGTAGTTGATCACACAAGAGTTTTGAAATGTTTGAAAGCATTAAGAATGATTTAAACGCAAGGACATTGAGTTAAGGCCGAGAAATGACGAACAGTGTCTTTGTGTGAATAGTTTGACAGATGTCATGACTAATCGTGAGGAAGCCCGGTCATGTGCCAACTTCATCCACAAAGTCAAATATCCATGGTTCCAAGCTTCTGCTCTGCATTTGGTGTAATCTGCTGGGTGTAGTTTATTATGAGCTGCTCAAATCGAATGAAACTATCATGGGAGATCGCAATCGACTACAATTGATGTGTTTGAGCCGAGCATTGAAGGAAAAACGGCCGTTATACGAACAGACACGACAGTGATTTTCCAGCATAACAACGTTCAGGTACTAATGAAAACCTACTTGGAAGTGCTTAAATTAAAAAGCCTACTCCACCCTCCATATTGCTTCTTCCGATTATCACTTGTTCCGATCGATGGCACAACCTGGCTGAATAGCACTTCCATTCTTATGAAGATGCGAAAAAATGGGTCGATTCTTGGATAACCTCAAAAGATGTGTCGTTTTTCCGACTTGAAATTAAAATGCTGCCAGAAAGACGGAAAAAAGTAGTGGCTAGTAATGGACAATACTCTCAGTTTCAATTTTACTAATATTTTTAAATAAAGCACTACTTTTCACGAAAAAACAGCGAGAACTTATTCATCATCCATGTATATTAAAAGCTGTAGGTTACTCTCTGTAGGTTATATATTATTTACCAACCCACAGAGAACGTACCGCGGAGCGGCCAGAGGGCCGAAGGCCCGAGAGAAAGGTCAAGTCCACATCAGCGGACTTGCCTACCTTTCTAGTCCCAAGTACAAAATTGCATGTCCTCCTTACGAGTGATTTTAAATTTTTACAATAGATGTCACCTTCTCCATCACTCTTGCGGATAACATTTACATTTTTTTTTCTGCAAAAAGCTTTTGTGGGAGAAATAAAACGCCAACGATCAGAAAAAAATTCTATACTTTGACAAGAAATGATTTTACAAATTCATAATCTATTGCATTACGCCTCATCCGCCCGTCCACAATCAGCATGGCATTCGGCACACTCATACCCACAAAAAACCAAGCTCCTATATATTTTTTTTATAAATTGCCATTAGTATAGTATGTTAACTGAACAATACGCAAAGAAAGCACTAACAGTTTCGACCGGTCATAACCTCACTTTCTGAATGCATCCTGCCTATTGCAACGTCCCTCAGGTAGTCTTAGTGGGGGATGTTCGGTCCGAGATAACCGGAGGCGACATCGGGAAAGCGCGACACAGGCTGGCACCGTTTATCAAACAATACGATTAGAAAAAATATTCTTAGATTGAGATTCTTGCGACATTAAAAGTTACGTCTACCCTCTATTCGAGTGTAGATTTACCGTATTCTGGTTTTTTGTGGTCATTTTGGATTGACAAGAACCCACACAATTCTCCACTTACAATAAAAACAACTGAATATACAATAAATGCATCAACATTCGAATTAAATTAAATACATTCAATTTTGATGTTTTTTTTTTTTAGAATGTCCATACGAATTAGCTCACTATAAAAAAAACATACAAAAACAATATTATAATGAAAACAATAAAAAAAATAGTTTTACGCGTATAAAATATTTGAATTTGTACAAAACAAAATCAACAAAACAAAAACGTCAAACTCAAATATCTTAGTTGTAATAAAAAGTACTTTCAACAAATCTAATCTTCTGAATAATTTGACTTGTAAAAAAATACAATAAATAAAAAAAAACAACTTACGAAATTTGCTAAAAACCTATACGTGGCAAAACAAGAAAAAGGCGACAGCTGAAGGTATCATTCAATAAATTTCCCGCGACAAATTTGTGTGTTGCAGCTTCCCAAGGTTCTTCCGTTTGAATGAATGTTTCGGACTATATCGAGAGCCATCGTAACAACCTGGGACACGACAATTGCTGCGACGGCTCGTTAAAGACTTAAAAAACTTTGCAAATATTTCAGGACAAAAAATTTAGTTTCCTTACTCCTATCTCTACATTAATTTAATATATTATATATAACAATACTATTTATATAATGAATAAAGTCACTTATCGCACTGTTAAAAAACACTTTGGCTGTAATCCATCGATTTTTGACCATTTTTTTTTTCAATTTTATTTATAAAAAATGGCACACTATTCTCGTAGAGCCACTAATAGCTAAGCGTACACACTTGGACACATATAATTGTAATCGACAGTTGCTGAACATCACATTTGGAGTTCTTTTTCTTCTTCTGTTCGAAGACCGAGGAGATACAGACAGATCACAAAATTATTACAGGATACTGATCCCAGCCCAGCGGAAGCGGTAGGCCGGGGGTGCAAGACAAAAGCCATCTGCTGGAAGTACCCCCCAACCGAGAGGTACTAGACCAGATTGTATTCGCGTAGATTCGACTGCAATATTGTATCCTTAACTGCCGCAAAGACAAATTTTATATTCTCCGTATCTGGAGACAGAAAAAATCGTTAGTTTGCTGTTCTAAAAATATGGATATCTTGTCAAACTCAAAAACTAATAATCCTCGGTTTTCTTCACATAAATTTTAATCAATTTACTGTTTTGAACGAAAAAAGTTTTCGACAAAATATCCAAGAAATTTGATCACACAGGGTGATTCTTAAGCACATTCCTCTAATAAAGCGAGTGTTTCTTTACACTACTTTTAAGAAAAAGAAAAAATATACAGGGAGTAACAAACAGATAATTTTTCAGTATCAAAGTCCATCAAAAAAGGGTTAATTGAAAATATTAAATGGAACACCTTATTCATTACGCCATCAATAGAACGCCGAATATTGAAGTCAGAAAACTTTTCCTGTATGTTCTTGGAAGTAATTTGAAGGTCAAACTTATTTTTGTCTAATAACTTTCAGGCCAAAATTTATAGAATTTTGAATGTCAAATTAGATGCTGAAGATTATTTTTCGTGAAACATTAGTTTAACCTTCAATTGACCTGTAAGGAAATTCTGAAAAAACTTTTTCATTCCCGGTTCTGACATAAAATGTGGCTCTATGTCTGTTGCTGGCATAAAAAATTGTATTCAATTTGATATTGAGTTGACCTTAGTTTGACCTTGCAACTTCTGTGAAGGTCATATCCAAAGTTACCATCTAATATGTCATACAAAATCCTACAAATTTTGCTTGAAACATATTTCTCGAGATTTTCAAAGAAAAATTAATTTAGCCTCCAAACTTGCAAGGACACAGAAAAAATTGTCTGAACCCATCTTGAGACCTAAAATTTAGCGTTCTATCGATCACTGGTATAAAACATAGGATGTTCAATTTAATATTTTCAAGTTGACCTTGGTTTGACCTTGAAGATTAAGGTCAAGGTCAAATCTCAGTTCATATAGGTTTCTTGATATCCTACAACCTGTACCTGAAACTTTTATCTTCAATTTTATCCTGAAGTTATTTTGAGGGTTCGGATCTTTTTATAACATCCGGTATGTCCTAAACAGATGTATTTCAGAGAGCCATTTTTCAGAATTTTATTTGAGAAAAGTCAGTTCTAATTCAGGACATGTAAATTGTATTTTAAATTAAGTCGCTTGTATTTCAGAATACAGTTAGTCTTTGTGTTATGTCGTTTTGACTAGTCATTTTGAGTTGTCTCAAACAATATTTTAACACCAGTCCTCAATCTAACGTCAATGGTTTTTATATCTTTGGATATTTACAGAATGCCATGAATATTTTTAAGGAACGTGTTCCAAATTTCTTCCTGTGCATGTTATCAAGAAATGTATGAAAACAAGAAAAAAGAAACGAAACAAACTCGAATTGATATGTTTTTAAACCAATGGTTTAATTTTTATTATGGTTCTTTCTATTTTTTCAATTGTGTAGTTCGCATGTAATGCATGGTTTGTTTTATAAATAAAGTGCCATTATTTAATATTAATATGTTCTGATAGAACCTAATTCCCTCACTTTATATACAGGGTCGGAAAGTCCCCATGGTTCATCGGCCGTTACGTGAAAGCGATAAAGTAAGTCATAGAAATCCGTGCGATAGAGAAAGATGGCTATAATGAAGGCTTCTAATAGTCACAGCCCATTTCACCCTTCCACAAATAAGAAATGGATCTTATTTGTGGAAGGGCGAAATGGGCGGTGACTATTAGATGCCTTCATTATAGCCATCTTTCTCCATCGGACGGTTTCCTATGACTTTCTTTATCGCTCTCACGTAACGGCCGATGAACCATGGGGACTTTCCGACCCTGTAGAAATAGAGGAAAAAAAATGTAACGACTTACGTCTTTTCGACTTAAGTAATTTATTTTGTGAACTGAACTTGCTGTAAGTACGAAGACTGCTTGTATAACATTTGTATTTCAGAAGCATCCCAATGAATTAATGTATTTTAGAACATAAATTGTATTACACATAGACGATATTTTAAAATGACTACGATGACGGTTAAAGATGTACCTTCAACTGACATGAAAGTATTAACGAAAAGTTGTTTCGTAAAAATGAATAAAACGAAGAAGGTAATGTTATTAATTTGAGACCAAAGCAGTAAAAGTAAAAATTAATTACTGTGAAATACATTTGATGCTTTCTGAAAAACAAATGATGCTTTCTGCAAGACGATTTAAGTTTTCTGAAATATAGTTTTTTTTTTTTATTAAAAATAACTCTGAAATACGACTTAAGCTTTTTGAAATTGAAATTATTTTTCTGAAATTAATTGATATTTTCTGAAATAGACTTGGAAAAAAAGATGATTTTTAAAATAGATGACGTACAGATTTTAAAAAAATATGACATATTCACAACTATCCCAAAAGACGTAGATTAACAAAGCTTGGAGTGGCAACTTAATTATTTAAAGATAAAAATTCACTAAGTTGGAAATAACTTTAAAACTGTTCATTTCATTAAAAAAAAGTTTGTTGAGCCACATCAATCATATTTAGAGATATTTGATCTTCATAAGAGGAACGTATTTAAATATCACCCTATATGCAATTCAACTTATAAAGAAGAAAATTAAGATGTAAGAAAAGCTCTGAAAAAAAGAAAACGCCAGAGAGAAAGAATGATTATGCAAAGAGTATATACAAGGGTACTTGGATAAAATAGGCCTGTTGGTAAAAAATTAAGCTAAGTAAAGTTAAAAATACAAATTCCAAAGAAATTAATGCAAACATCTCAAGTAATACGGCAATTTCCGTATTTGATTAAAATACCCCACAACAGACATTGTGGAGTTTATTTCTCACACAACCCTCGTATATAACAAACGATACACATGATCTCTGCTTATGACTGCGAAAATGAACAAATACAACTTGTGAGTTACGTGAAATGCAAAATACGAAAATATGTATGAAACGGCTTTTGAAAAACAGATATTTACCTTGGAATTATGCTAAATTAAATTCTTTCAGAGCGCTTTGCATGATAGTATCTTTAACGGCACAAAACACAAGTTTAATATTTTCAGTGTCTAAATTATAAAAACCCATTCCACGGTAGGCATGCAGTAAAAATAAAGACATATTTTTATTGTGAAAGAGATGGATAGAAAGCAGGGGAAGGAACCCTAAAGCCTTAAAACTATCTCAAAGCGTTCATGGAGCTGCCCCAAAATTGAAAAACAAAACGAAAACATTTATTATTGTGAAAGGTGTAGTTTTATTTTCTGAATTTCAGGGTAACTCCTTGAAAATTGTCACTAGCAGTACCTGTAGCACAAGTAAAATGTGAGTATATGATTTTCTCACTGTCCGGATTCAGGTCTACAAACATTCTTAGGATAAACTCCCTAGCTGCAATCGCATCTCGTTGGGGACCTAGACAAATACTTTTTAGCTACTAGCACTACGAAAGACCAGTAAACAACTTTATACATTGAATCTTAAAATCAATTTTCAGTTTATTTGTTAAATAATTACATGTTCCTCATGACATATTTATTGATTAATGAATTATTTAATTATTTCCAATGTGATTTATGTCTTAGCTAACATGAATATATCGACCTTTAAAATTTGGAATTAATATGATGGACCATACCTAGGTTTGTGAATTTATAAAATGTAAAAAACATTTCTGAGAATTTTTTTTTGTTATTTACTTTAAATAGCTTTCATACAAAGAAAACGTTATGTTTCCTTTCTAAAAATATGCACACTTGTTGGAGCTTCACCAACACAAAAAAAAAATGTAAGTTGGGTAAAAATATTTCAAATTAATTTAGACTGAAGAATAGGAGATAATTTCTTTGAGGTTTGCAACATTATGTGATGTTCATTGTTTAACATTTGAATTCATTTTATATACAGGGTGATTTAGTCATAATGTCATTAATTTTAAGTGTAGGGAAAAATGAGAATACGAATAAATTGATAATGCATCTTTACACTAAAAAAAGACAGAAAACCGAAGAAAAAAAATTTTACTCGATCTTTTATAAAATAAGTAAATTACCCCTTAAATACCGTTAACTCAGTGCTCTAGTTTGCAACAGGTAATGCATGGGCCAGCGGACTATAGAGCGTTCATAAGTTGAAGCAAAACAGCTGTTTACCCAGTCGCACAGTGGGAAATATTGGAAAAAATCCGAGCCACGCGTCAAAACTAATCAAATAGCACTTAGATTTTTTTTTTGTTCTTTCCGAAATTACCTCTACTATAAAGTTCCTGTGGGGTAATTGGAATACATGCCTAGAATTTTTTCAAAATGGCCAAGTAATCTCTAGCCTCAAACTCGATCATACGAAGTTTGACATATCCGGTATCTAAAAATTAAAAAAAAAAAGGAAAATTATGTAAAGGCTGCCAAACTAAAAAAAATCATAAACATTAAACATATTCCTAAATCATGAATCTAGACCCAAAACATAACCTCAAATTTATAAATCTTATACCCAATTTCCTTTGTTGAAAAAAATATATCGTTTCTGTGGATTTTTAACTTAATTATTTTGGATTTGAGGTTAGGTTTTCAGGATTCCTGGTCAGCTTCCTATGAATTTGAGTTAGAGTTATGCAAAATAATGGTTGCACACTCAAAAGTACAATTTTTATGGATTTATACTCACAGGTTTAGAAAAAATTGAGTATGTTCGTTTTAGGTTAAGATTTATAAATTTGAGGTTATGTTTTGGGTCTATATTCATGATTTAGGAATATATTTAATGTTCATGATTTTTTTGTTTGTTTGGCAGCCTTTAGTACATAATTTTCCCTTTTTCTTTTCATTTTTATAGCTAATATGTCAAACTTCGTATGATCGAGTTTGAGGTTAGAGATTACTCGGCCACTTTGAAAAAATTCTGGGCATATATTCCAATTATCTCACCGAAACTTTATAGTACAGGTAATTTCGGAAAGAATAACAAAAAAATCTCTGTTGCATATCTCCCTTAACAAAATCCTATAGACGGATGAATGTTTTCTTAGCCATACTATCATTTTAAATAGTAAGTACCACATACTACTCTTCGAAAAGCAATAAGTCACACAACAAGGTATATGTACTATAAACTGAATAATTGATTGAACATAATACTAAAAACTCATATTCAATTTTAAAACATAGTGAAAGCGTTAACAATATTAATACTAAATTACCTAACATCCAAAAACAATTATTATCCTTATACATTTGTTTTTATTAACAAATGAATAAACTTGTTAATATTTAAAATGTAAAAAAATATCTTATTCATTCATGCGTCTAGGTAAAAAGGTCTATTTTTGTCGTTCACTATTAAAAACGCAGTAAAAGCTAGGTTAACAACCGAATATGATAGTTAAGATTCACTCTCGATAAACCTTTGTAGTTTGGTTTAAATGATTTGAAAATAGTTTTTTTTAGTGTAAATATGTATTATCAATTTATTCGTATTCTCATCATTTTTCCCTTACTTAAAATTAATGACATTATGACTGAGTCACCCTGCATTAATAAGAAATCGTGTATATGACGAGAATTTTAGAAAAAATTTTAGAATTAATTGTAATTAACTTAATACTCTTTAAAAATATTTAAATATATTATACAGGATGCAACTTTAAGTGGGGAGTCAGTTTTTTAGGGCAATACAACATTAATCTGAAATTATATATATTTTTTTAAATCAAATAGGTAGTCGAGTTTAAACTGTACTTAAACTCTTCTCTAGGCTGCCCTTGGACATTCTTTCAAAAGGAGCCCCAACGTTGTACTATTTCATCTGGCTCCGCCTTCTTGTTCTAGGTCCCTTGTTGCTAGAACAGCCAGCACACCCAAGACACCAATCTTCTACATCTGCTCGGCTTCCTAGCCAGTAGAACTTTTCTCTAACTTCACTCCATCATGGACTTCTTTCAGCACTTCGTTGCCGCTATTCTTTGGCAGTACAAACTGTTATCGTACTTCTTTGCCATCTTGACATTCCCACTTCAGTAACCCATTTTCCAACGTAAGACAGTCCTATACTGCCCAGTAACCTTTTAACAGTAGTGATTTTCGAATATTTCTGTCCGTTTTGGTCGAGTCCCTTGTTCCTTCAAACTAATTGATTTTAGACTGTCATCGGTTCAATGGTCTTCACTAAGTTTTCTAATTTCCTGATTGTCCATTCATCATAATTAATTGCTATTCTTTAAGACAAGTTTCCAAATTGTCATCAAGGTATACAAGACAGATATTCTAAGTAAATTCTTGTAATATAGTCTCTATGAGACTCTTGAAAGTGACTGGAGCACTGCAGAGGCCAAAAACATGTTCCAGCAGAAAAAGGTATTTTCTTTCCCCTTTGGATCGGCTTCTGCTTGCCAATAACCACTTTTGAGATCCAATGTAGAAAACCTATTTTGCATTTGTCAAGATTCTAAGTAGAGGATAGTTGTCTTTCTTCCTTGTCACTGACCCTACTGTAGTCAACACAAAATCTGGTAGAACCATCTTTCTTGGTGACCAACACTACTGGTAAACTCCATGGGCTATTCAAAGGTTCCATTAAACCTTGATGTTTCATGTCCCTCAGAAGGTTTTCCAAACGTTAAAGACAGATCTTCCAGGTAAAGTTTTGAGACTTTTGAATGTGGCTGGAACATTGCAGAGATCAAAAAACTTGACTCTGAAGTGTACAAGTAGAGAATGCAGTCTTTTCTTTGTCCTGTGAATCGACTTCTGCTTGCCAATACTATTTTTGAGACCCAACATAGCAAACCAATTTGCATTTGCCAGGATTCCAACTAGAAGATAATTGTCTTTCTTCACTGACCTTTCTCTAGTCAACATAAAAACTGGTAGAACCTAGAACCATCTTTCTTGGTGAAGAGCACTTCCAGTGAATTCCATGGGCTATTCGAAGGTTCAATTATACACCTTGATGTTTCATGTGCTTCAGAAGGCATTCCAAATGTCAAAATTGTCAAAGATCGTAAACTGTTGTTAAAAAATTGTGGTAAATAAAGGAAATTTAATACATGACCACCCATTCAAAGTTGCACCTTATATAGATGATACTCTATAGCAAATTTAAGGCTACACAAACTACATATATACATTTTTGTAATAGCATCAAATATTGGTAAAACTAGCAATAATCCTACAGCGCAAAACTGAAATTCTGTCAAAAAGAACCTGTCGCTGTTGTGAAATGAGAATAGCAACTGCGTTCTGGATCAGGGTTTTCCCGCAGGTACACTTTCAAAATGTATTCCCTTGCTCCAATATGGTCCTGCTTGGCGCCTTAATACAAGATGTCAACATTTACTGGCTTAAAAGAAGTATTACTTACCATCGTACTCAGGAAAATAGTCAACAAGATGTGAATACATAATTTTTTCCTCTAGTAAATCTTTCTTATTTAAAAACAATATTACACTTGAATGTTGGAACCATGGGTAGGTAATAATTGTTTTGAAAAGAGCCTTTGACTCCTCCATACGGTTCTGGAAAAGATTGAGACATTAATTTCGTAAGGATTTTAAACGATTCTTCCCGAGCGACGACTTACCTCGTTTTCTGATTCGAAGAGGATCTGGTCATATTCACTTAATGCTACTAGAAAGATAATGGAAGTTACGTTTTCAAAACAGTGGATCCATTTCCTTCTTTCTGATCTTTGTCCCCCTACGTCTACCATTCTACAATGCATAAAATTCATGTTAAAAAAATATCTCCACATGTATCGTGGCAAGAAAAATATGGTGTTATCACACTATAAGCGATGCTGTTAAAATTGCTGTGTTAGATCTAATAATAATCCTTGCCAATTTCTACGAATAAAAAATAAAGATGCTAAAAATTTCCATGCTGTGAAAGCCAATTCGAAGCATATGAATAATTGATTATTGAAGCAGTTAGTTTATAAAGGCACACATTTAAGCGATTTTGTGTTGGTTGTTTTTTCACGATCTAGTTAGTAAGACTGAAATTTCTTTATAGAGAGAATCTTTATGTACAAATTTTGTTGTTACTTATTTTTCAATATTAACATGGATATTACAGCACTATTATAGTAAACCACGCAATAAAGATTTATTGATGCTAATTTATTTCGTGATTAGCGAAACATGTCTAAACAAAATTTTATTTCTTGATAAAACTTTACAAGTACCCCTCTCATTAATTTTCAGAACCAAGGTTATGATTTCTTTAAAAAAAGTTCAAGATTAATCTTAGTAATAAACTTGTTTTGATTCCAATAATAACTAAATAGGTTTGAATGAAGTTTCTGCAATCTCTGATTTTCTACTAATGTTAAGTGAATAAAATTTGATTTTTATTACTTGCAGAAATGTTGAAGGCTACAGTTATGATAATTATCAAACTCGACTGAATCTGCGCTGCATCTAGTTTGCGATATTTACTAAAATCTACACTACACTAATTTCAATCCTTTGTCTACATAAACATGTAAAACACAAAGTTATTTAACTTTAAAACAATAAGCAACTTCTGAATTTAAAAAATCTTCATCATCTTGATAATATTAAGTGATACTTTTTATTGTATTTTTATTTATCGTAATTTGCGTGTTTGCAATTACTGAATATATGAAAAAAATAAGGAAACCCTTATTTGAAAGCATTTTAAGATTCAGTTCACCATTTTGAAGTGTGTATTCAAATAAAGCTAAACTGAATAATTTAAATGTTAAGAAACTTGAAAAAAACCAGATTTTTTTTTGTAAAAGATTTGTCGTTTTTTACGGTAAATGTACCAGTAATCGTCAGATTTGAGAAGCCTTCCTACATAATCTTCGAATATTTTACAATATCAATTAGCATTTTCATAAATATATATTCATTATTTTAGTTTCTTTGGTGGTTTTTTTCTGCCTTGCTTCTTGTAATTTTTCTGACGTTTCAGAAGGCATTTTTTCTATGGTTTTATTTTTTTTATTTTTGAGGACAATTTCTGGCTAATAACGTGATTTTTAAAAGGTGACGGAAAATCATCTAGTTAAATTAAATAAAAATATTTTTAACAATTATAATTGCCTTCATGGGTTAATTTTTCTAGTCAATAAAGTTCCATTCGTCGTCACTTCTTTGACCCAATAATGGTACGTAGTATGTTTTAAATGAAGTTTACAAACACAGACTGAAAATTTTAATACTTATAAATATGTCCTAATTGATTATAATTAGTCTTGCACACAATTTAATTCAACACCTTAACCAAAACACTAAAATAATTATGAAATATGGATGAACAAACACTTGATCACTAACAATTACTGGTACGTATATTGCTGCTTCTTTTCAGCTAATATTTAATGTTTCTGAATATCCAACAAACCCTATAATGACCTAATTAGAACATATAGGTTTATAATTTTGAGGATACTGGTTTAACAAAAGTATTTTATCGTTCTGATTTTGAAAGAAAACTGAAAATTATATCATGTGGACAAAAGTATGGAACAAATTTCCTCTGCATTTGGAAAAGACACTTATTAATGTACCCCTCATTCGATTGTTTCACTTCCAGAAAGTTATATTGTACGAGAATTGGGCCGAAAATTATAAATTCTTTTAAGAAAAACATGTCATCAATCACGAAGCAGGGTACACGAAAAAGTGTCTTTTTTAAATGCAAAATTGACGTATACAAAATCAAATTCATTCCATATTTTTTTTCCGTACGGTATGCCCAACCAAAATAACCAGGACCACACTGACCTAGAGTTAAAACGTATCATACCTAAAGATAATGGAGTCGAGATCGAACGGGTACTCTATGATGCCCGTCGTGGGGGCTCTCGCTCTGAGGATGTCCTGTTCGGTGGGCAGGTACTCCGGAGCCCGTATTCGCTCCAAGTCGCTAAGATAACTGCAACCAACACAAGCATGCAACATGCAGCAACATAATACACAAAACCAGCTAAAAATTAAGAATTAAATGCTAGTAGATAGTGTGAGTGCGCCTTTTCTGCCGTACCGTACGCCGTGCAACAAGCAAAACGACAAACATAGAACTAGAATTTTGGACTGGTCCGCCGGCCGCACGGGTCCCATCCCCGTTTCACTTTTTTATAGAAATAAAATCAATCCCAGAAAAATTGTTCCGTTTAAAATTGTCGGGGTTTATAAAACTTTCTAGAAGAGAAAATATATAGCTTTATCTGAACTTTATGAAATATTTAAGACATTACATTAAAACTTGTTTTTTCTTTTCTCAATAAACTGATCACAAAATTGATACAACACAAATTGTCATATTTTAACTGCAAATTGGTAAAAAAATTGAGGGCAATAAAACTAATTCCATTTAAAAAATATATTTCGTTATTAGCCCTTGCATTTTTCATTCTTTTTAAAGGTACTGAGCTAAAAGTAAAAATGATATGTCTAAATATAATTTACGCAAAAACAGATATCTGATATACTGAAATTGCCAAATATTGCAAAATAATTCAAAGAAATATCTTGACTTCTTGCTCTTCTATTATCACTGTTTACTTGATTACTATCAAAATAAATGAAATAGACCCCTGAGTATGCAAACCAATATTAAGAAAACGTAGGGGTAAAAAAATTGAAAAATTGAATTGAAATTTGGACCATGTTTGGCCTCGCTATTACTCTATTGTGTGCTAAAATTTTAGTTAGTTTCGTTATGCCATTCTTTAGTTATTAATGAAAATGTTGAAAAAATTTCTCTCACTTTAACTAATTTTTTTGTTAATTGATAAAAAAATTCCAAATTTTTACTGACAATAATTCGAACTATTGTCTTTAGTACTGTGAAGGTCATTTGTCTCAAAAGCTCTTCTTTTTTTTATTTTTAAGGAAAACAGAAGGGAGTGCTATCTCCGTAAATATTGCATTCTTTAAAAATAAACTGACTTAAGTAGTAAATAATTGTAAACAACAATCTGAAAAGATTTGTTAAAATATCGATTTCCAAACTCAGGTGTCTATTTCATTTATTTCGACAGTAGTCATGTAAAAAATAGTTACTATAAAGAGATCTTTTTTTTCCACATTTCACTTAGAATTATTTAATCGAGTAGCCTCCCTTCTCGTATTTATTAATTCAATAAAGATTAACAGTAAAAACAATATGACCCATTTGTTTTAAAACCACCCCGTAAAGTCTTTATTTATGTGCGATTTTAACCGGATTTTTTTTTAAAGATTTAGAGCTTGACGAAGTGTGCTTTGTGAAGGAAAATGAGCGTGGTTCCACAAAATCCAAGGCGTACTATGTCCGTTTTTAGGAGTAAAATTCCAAAGTTTCATATTAGGGATTTTTTGAGAAAAAAATATATTACGCCACTGGATTCACGATCCCTCAGAACAGGCCAATACCAAATTTTATCAAAAAATTTAGAATCATAACGATTTTGTAACCAAATAAAAAATTCACAAGTCTACTTTTTTTCATTAATTTATTCTTGATATCAAGTTGTCCATGAAGTAAAACAAAAACAAAAAAATTAAATTAACTAAACTCTAGTAATGTGATACTATAATAATTATTAATGATCTTAGTTTTGACAAATTTAAAAATAAAATAATGAAATTGAAACCAACTAAAGTTAAATAATTACACTTCTCAATTATTTTACGTATGTTCGTAATTACCTTTTGTATTTGGTTTGGAGTAATTTCTGCACAGGCTTGCATTATCCTAGCGTGTGTACAGTTTGTGGCCTTTTTGTTTCAATAAACCCCAAAGAAAAAAATCTAATGGTGTCAAGTCTGAGGATCTCGGTGGCCATTCAATTAAAGGCAACGTTATGAATAGGGCTACAATTTAACTGAAAGTTGAAGTTAAGGAGATTTCTTAAAGGCAAATCATCTAATGAAATCTGAAATTCATTATTAAGAAAATTTAAAAATCTATTCGCATTGAAATAAAAGAAAGGGAAATTATTTTATTATTTAGTATTCTATACCAATCGTAACTTTTTGCGAATACTGCCTCTTTGCGTTTATAATGAATTCTGGATTCTCAACTGACCAATGATGACAATTTCGGGACGGAACTACCCCATTTGCAGTAAGTGTGGCTGCATTACTAAATAAAATTTCACTGAAAAATTTAGGATCATTTAAATATTCTGCCTGTAGCCAATAACAAAACTCCAAAAGTCTTTCTTCATCTCCCAATTCCAAAGCATAGACAAATTTTAATTTAAAAGCTTTTATTTTATTTTCTGCCAGGCACCTTCTGGTATTTTCTCTAGGGATATTAAGATTTAAACTAACCACTCTAATACTAGCCCGGGGAATATTATTAAAAATATTGTAAAATCTAGTTATTATTTCTCAAAATTCTACGACGTCCATTATATCCAGTTTTAAGTAAATTTTTTGAAAGACAGCCTGTTTTATTGAAAACTTTATTAATATACTGTACACTACTCTAACTTACTCCTCTGTTTGGGTGCCTACCATTAAATTCTATTGCAGCATTTCTTGCCGAACACACATTATCGCCAACAAATCTTACAATGTCTATTTTGTCTGTTAACCGTATATTTTCCAAGGTTATTAACACGAGATAAACTTAACTTCACAATAATTTGTCACTTTTGACTATTACCTAACTACCTCATTTTTTGTTTTGCTTCATGGACAACTTGATATCAACAATAAATTAATGAAAAAAAAGTAAAGACCCATGAATTTTTGATTTCGCTATCGATATCGCTATTACATATTTAAAATTTTTTGGTAAAATTTAGTATTGGCTCAAAAAAATCCGGTTAAAATCGCACAATAAATAAAGATTTTAGTGGTTGGCTTAAAAACAAATGAGTCACACTTAAAAACTTAAAAAACTTTTAGGAAAAAGAAATAATATTTTGAAACAACAGTCAATGACTGGATCGTTGTAATTGTTTTTTTAACTAAAAAAATATTTACCTTTTATAAATTTATTTTGAAAACATAAACATATGAGAATGGATACTACCCGAGTGAAATGTGGAAACCAAAAGATCTCTTTGTAGCAGCCATTTTTTAAGTGATTAGTGTCTGTCAGTGGTAATAATAGAGCAGAAAGAATACAAAATATTTCTTTGAATGATCGAATTTAACAATTTCAATATATCAGGTATGAGCTTTTGTATTACTTATATTTAAACATATCATTTTTAGTTTTTATTTTGAATCATTATTTATTATCAGCTTTTTAACAGGTATTGTCGCTATTGTATAATTATTCAAAGCCAGTTGGAGCATGTAGCCCAAAGAAAAGTTGTTTGTATATCAAAAATAGCTTTATATATTAAAAATTGTTGCTTCTTAATACAACATTCAGTATGCTAGAGTGTCTTATTTTAATCGCAGAAGTCTGCGCAGTTATATTAGTCTAGTACCTTTGTGTCTATCTAGGCTTATTATTCTTGATTTTTATTATAGAAAATGGTCAAATTAGATCAATTTAGTGGGTGGATATTAAATAGATTTTAACTACATTCCATATTACATTTTTAAGTAAAGTATTACTTGAAATGTAATTATCATTTTCACATGAAGGTTTAGGATCCAATGAACAGATTTGGCATTAAAAAAAAATGAGGAATACAAACCCCTCTTACTCTTTTCAACGAGTGTCGAATCAATTCGGAAATGAAATTATGTTTTGTGCAGTGACTGATGAAAGAGATAAGTAACAAATTGTAACATGTAAATTGAAAATCCAATGTTATCTCACCCCTACATATACCAGCAAGAGACCACTCGCCCTATTATTTCTTTTTGCAGAAACTCTGTCCCCAAATAGGCTTTTATTACTCAAACGGCATACACGTTTGTAATGAAACTGAACAATAAAATATTTGAGCGTAATGTTTTTAAGGCATGATTTTAACTTATTATCGTTTCTTAAATGGGACTAAAAAAGTCAAACAGGATGGAACCAACAACGGCCCCCTGAGTGTTCCGGAAACACAACCAATGCGACCGTTGAGTCGAAAGTAAGCTCTCATGCCGTCGGCCTGTCGTACCTAAACCTGATCTCGTCCAGGTCGAACGGATACTCAATGATGCCGGTGGTGGGCACCCTGACGCGCAAGATGTCCTGCTCAGTTGGCAGGTAGGTGGGGGACGCCACCCGATCTATCTCCATTAGATAACTGCAAGGCACACACACCTTTACGACCAGTCTTTCAACTTACGGTACTATCAAATACTAGTAAAGACCGGAAAATATAACCGTCAAAAAAGACTTTCCCGACGTTTGGGCCTTCCCCGAGCCAAGATTATTATTCGTAGATGAATTTACAGTGCATGTCAAATACACCAAAATGCGAGCTCTAACAACTAATTGTTTGGACAGCACATTATTCATTATAAATTATATGCAATTTTTAAATAAAGTTTACCAAATTTACCTCAACTAGGTTACATAAAGTTAACAAGTCTCTTTTGGCACATTGCAAAAAAAACTATTAGAGATTTTGTTACTTTTTTGTTATTCTAAAAGGAATTTTGTACTTTACACCATTTTCGAGAAAATTGCAAAATGCTGTCGCAAATCTTAAGTTTGCAATTCAAGCAATATGCGATAATTCTCATTCTTACTTGGAGCTTGCCAATGTTAACAACAGGCCTTTGGGCATTTTTTTATCACTTTTGGCGGTCGACTAGAACTATTTCCGCTAAGATCTGCGCTATCAATTTCTCGGTACATTTTAATTATATCTTCAATTGTGGATTTCGGCATATCTGTTTCATTGATTTCCCTCATTCATAATGTTGAATTATCATTTCATATACTTTTTTGGAGGGTATTTTGTAATTACAGCACCTACTTCGTTTTTGAGACCAAAAGTGCCGTGTCCAAACATTTAGTTGTCAGCAAATTAAACAAAATATTACTGTGATGCGATTTACAGATCAGAATATATTTAATTACATGTAAAATAGTCATTGCAATAGTTGTAAAATGAAGTCGTTCATGTAGAATAAGTTTATTCTAAGATTAGATGACATTATACTGTTATTACGGAAATTATAGCTTGTCCGAACATTTAGTTGTTAGGATTCGTAGTGTTTTAACGTAACTTATTTCTATACCAAGTTGCTTTGTTTAAAGTTGGTAAAGTTTTAAGTTTTCTTCATATAATTCTGGAAGGCTTAGACCAATTTAACTAAAATTTGATTCACGCTTTTATTGACTTGTGTACAGATGTCACTTTTTGACATATTTACCGAACTAATTGCACAATGAAACAAATATGCTATTTTTGTTACAGGTGATTTTATAACTTCAGCTGTAATCTTATATTAAAGGTAATCGTTTATATGAAGTTTTTCCCCTTCAGAAATTTTTTGTATTTCTAACAGTTTTTATGTATTTAATTATTTTATGTGTCGTCATTAATGGATTTTTGATACAATCTTATTTACTGCTGTGAAAAATTTGATTTATTAGACAGTGAAAATGAAATATATAATGCTCCTAAAGTACAGAAAATTTTAATTGCATATTTAATTTAATAATTCATGAAAATGATTAAAGTAATCACCATTTTAAATAACAAGAAATTCATTTAAAAAACAACGATCATCTCACCTTAAATTTCTGCTATTATGTGAACTGTGAGTGTCAGATTTGAATTACTGTGACTGTGATTGTGCCTATTTGAATCCCAAACCATTAAATTAAACAAATTGAATGACAAACTATCATAGATAATTTGCAAAATAAAGAAAATTTGATTTTTTTATTTATTTTCACCTAATCGGGTTTGTGAGACATAGCAGCATGCTACATCTATGAATAATCACTGCTGCCTTTAATATACCACACTGGCAGAGAGCGATCTATTTACTAGATATTGCTAGTATAATTCAATGGCGGTTGGGCCATGCAAAGTAGTAGTTTCCCTTAATATCATCAAATAAAATGAATTATGTGTTATGGAAAATGGTGAACATTTGCTGCAAATTTTTCAGCTTTGTTTAATTTTTATTATCAAATAAGTCAAATTTTTTATGACAATTAAATCAGATTTGAATCTAAAATGTGTTGGTTTTATGTTAGTATAACAATTGAAGTTGTAATGCCACCTCTAGAAAAAGTATATAAGCATATTTGCTAAGAGGTCGGGGTATTTTTTCAGTCTGTAAATACAGTGACATCTACTACGACTGACAATTACATACTAGTATTTCATTTAAATCGGACAAATCGTTTTAGTTATTTGGAAAAAATTAAACATATTTTACTAACTTTAATGCCATCTACAGGTTAAATGACGCAACTTGGTTTAGAGGTAAGTTACATTAAAACATATCGTGGGGTCCATACACGCATATGCCTATTCATTTAGGAATGACCCTGTATGAGTATTGAAATACCTTTTTTCAAATACATATAATTATACAAATTAAAAAAAAAACTAAACAAAAAATGTATTCTTAGAAAATTTCATTAACGTAAATTGTTTTTTACCAGTGTTGAAATTAAAACAAAATTAAATATTCATAAGATTACCAGTGGCGGGTGGTGAAAAGTAAAATAATAGGTCTTTTCGCAAAATATTTCTTTTCATAATCTGTTGCGGTCGGTCAGATGTTTTTATTTGTTCACTAAATTAAATTTTCTTCATAATTATACCACCTAAATTTTGATTTGAAATGAATGTTCCTTTTTCAATCATCATAAAATCATAACTTTAAGAAAAATGAAAGTTTTGTGTAAAATAAGAAAATGCTTGTTTGCATCTATCATATTTCACACATGTATGTGCAATGCTGTTTGAAATCACAGAGATCACTCCTATTTTAAAATTTTATTTCTCAAAATTTGTTTGAAATTCCCTCAAGATGTCAAGATCGGCAACCCTAATTAATTTTTTGCAAATTTTATTACAATTTATACATGACGAAAGTTCTCTGTGATGATGGAAATCATGCTTTAAAAAAAGGTTTGGATCCGAATCATATTAATTTTCACCAATCGTCACTGAAGATTAGTAACAATCGAGACGTAACAATTAAATGTTGGGACATGATTTTATTTTGGAAATAACACAATGGTTTATCAAAAAGACTGAAGCATTTCGTTAATTCCTTTAAATACAAAAATAGTGCTATATTCTAAACCGTTTTAAAATATTTTCCAGCCTTGATAAGTCAATTGGCTATAATAATAATATATTTTGACATTGGACATTTAAATTTGCTAACAATATAGATAAGACAATATGCAAAATTTCGGCTAAATTGAGTTAAAACATGTCTGTCATTTAAATTTATGGCATGTAATCATTAATGAAGGCTCCATTTGATTAACAGCACTAGAGTCTGGTTCTAAACAATATGAGGTAGAGAAAAGTATCAACAATACATTGAATATCATTTTCCACATAGTTTTTCACATCTACCGCCCACCATGAAGCTTGAATCGCCCTCTTGGGCGGTATGGATTTGGTTGACTTGCCCTGGTCTAGAGCATATTATGTTTGTATTTAAAAGAACATAACAAACTACTTCAGTCATTCTGATAAGCCATTGTATTATTTCCAAAATAAAAACTTGTCCCAACATTTAATTGTTAAGGTTGTTTTGTTGCAGTATGTCAAAGTAATTTTATACCGATATACAGGGTGTAATACACATACTTGTCAAAAATAAAGGAGCGTTTTCTTGTCAAGCATTAAAAATTTTCAATAATATACAGGGTGTAACTTTACATGGAGGTCAGTTTTTTAGGGAAAATAGTACGTTTTCCTCAGAATACTAATCTGAATCTAAAACAGAATACACGGTTTACGTGTCGAAACTCTGTTTTCAGTATCAAAACTTTCATTCTCAAATTGACTTAAAAGTCAAATGTGACAGTTTATTTTGTTTTGTTTGTCTACCTTCCATGGAGATATAAGATATCGTATAATATTTATTTTATTATTACTTACTTAAAACTGTGACATTTGACTTTTAAGTCAATTTGAGAATGAAAGTTTTGATAACAAACAGTGAAGTTTTCGAAACATGAAAAGAGAATGACCGTTTCATTACGTTCATTTTAGTTTTTAGTTTATTGGTTTACGAGAGGCAGGTAATTTAATGACTATACATCAAGTAGGTATCAGTTGTTACTGAAGTCAAAATAGAATTTGTATAGTGTATGTTGTGTTTTATTAAGTTTAATTTTGTAGTTGGTGAAGTATTTTTTGTAATGTTAAGTGTATAATCTTATAAAGTTGTTTACTTCAGTGTTTAATGACAATATCGTGTGTTTATGAGTTTCCATCTTTAAATTTCCTTGTGATGATATGAAAAAACAAGTACGAGGGTGGTCTGAAAAGTTTCCGACCTAACAAAGATGCAAGACATTTTTTCAGAATTTTTTTTTTTTCAACATAGTCTCCTTGTAACTCTACACACTTCTCCCAGCGATGCTCCCATCTCTGTAACCCGTCCAAATAGTACTCGGCGTTTTTCTCTGCAAAATAATTGTTCACGAAGGTGATTGCCTCTTCATTTGACGAAAATCTCTGTCCTCCGAGCGCAATTTTTAGATGAGGGAACAAAAAGAAGTCGCTTGGGGCTAGATCTGGTGAGTAAGGCGGATGGTCAAGCAGTTCAAACCGTAATTCGTGGATTTTCGCCATGGCAACCGCTGAGGTGTGAGACGGTGCGTTGTCTTGGTGAAACAGGATTTTCTTTTTCTGCAAATGTGGCCGTTTTTCCGCAAGTTCTGCCTTCAGCTTGTCAAGTAATGATGCGTAGTATGCTCCTGTAATGGTTTTTCCTTTTTGAAGATAATCGATTAAAATAACTCCATGACTATCCCAAAAAACAGTCGCCATCACTTTCCCAGCCGAAAAAACAGTTTTTGCTTTTTTTGGAGCCGGTTCCCCCTTTGCAGTCCACTGTTTGGACTGTATTTTTGTTTCGGGCGTATAATGGTGTATCCAAGTTTCATCTACAGTAATTAATCGGCGCCAAAACTCGGATTTATTGCGCCTAAACTGCGCCAACAGAGCGTTGGAAATGTTCATTCGAACACGTTTTTGGTCTAACGTGAGCAAACGCGGCACCCAACGCGCGGACAGCTTTCTCATGTTTAAATGTTGATTTAATATGTGACAAACACGTTCTTTTGACATGTTCATAACCTCTGCTATCTCTCTCACTTTAATTCGGCGGTCGTCTAGCACCATTTGGTGAACTTTGGCGATGTTTTCGTCGGTAGTTGCAGTTTTTGGACGTCCCGAACGTTCATCGTCTCCCAAGCTCTTACGGCCACGTTTAAATTCAGCTGCCCAAAATTTCACTGTGGTAAATGATGGTGCAGAGTCCCCATACACAGAATCCAACTCATCTTTGATTTGCGTAGGCGTATTGCCTTTCAAAAACAAATATTTAATGACAGCTCGATACTCGATTTTGTCCATTTTCATAAAAACACTCACATCAACTCACTCAAACGACTGTTACATAACAACTACGCGTCCAAAATGGCTGAAACTTTGGTGAGTAACTGTCAACAGATGAACAACGAAATTCACTAGCTTTTATTTACGAGTGCTGCCATCTTTATGTTGAGGTCGGAAACTTTTCAGACCACCCTCGTATGTGAAGTAAGAAAGATGAAATTGGGTACACGGTACACGCGCGCCATTAAACCGATCAGCAAAAACAAAATTCAGTTTTTTCTGACAAAGGTGGCCTCCATATAAATATGACTCATATAAAGTTACACCCCATAATTTTATATGCACAATACATTATGAAAAATGATTTAAAACACAATTGATCTTAAAGTTGAATACAGAAAATACACCCTGTACTTAGAAGGAGATATGAAGTTTTATAAACCAAATTTTAAAAAATGTTTAACCCTTTCCAGTCAATAGATTTACAGCAAGTCTGCATATTCATCACTAGCACCGAAAACGAATACATATTAAAAATCAAATCAAAATAACTTCAACAAAGACAGTACGTATTATTAGAAAACTCTAAAATACAAATCAAAAACCGATCAACTCACTTCTGTTACGATAAGTAACAATTCAGTGAAAAACACGCTACAGTGTGTACGGTGGTAAAAAACCAAACTTACTATTTCGCGGAATCGGTGAGTTGGTATTCCCTGCGCCGGTCGTAGCACTCTTGGATGCCAGCATCGGCCCAGAGGTCCTTGATGGCCTCCACATAGGGGCTCTCGAACGTGGTCACCGTCTCATAATCAATGCTCTTGATCAACTCCGCCTTATCCTGGAACGATTAGTTAAAATGAGTTCCTGCAGGTGTGTTTCCCTTTCATAATTCTTAAGTTATGATCATATTTTACGAAAAAAATTAATTCAAAATTAGAAAAAATTTCAGATTTAGTTTTTTTAACTATACAAAAGAAATTTTTAGAGTAGAGGGACATCCCCATCCGAGATAATTTTGTCAATCACTAAATCCTTCAATAATTCATTTACCAATCCACTGCTAATTGCTATCCAAATAAAATATAACCAGTTTCATTTGAAACTCCGAAATTAATTTAATAGCATTTATCTACTTCTAAACTAAAAACAGTGGAAACATAAATTTATGCAGCAATGTTTTAGGTATAAGTGAGTCATCACCCAAATAATTATAGAATGGAATGCACATAAAACAGTAGTCTTCTTTTTGATGGGATCCCAGTGAGAGATAATTCTTTTTAATCAGTAATTTCTGACAGAATACTTGGAATAATCATCCAATGACAAAAAATGTTATGTAAATTTTCTATATATAGGCACTTTCAAAAATTAATCATTCATCGTTTTATAAAATTATGCATAGAATAAACGTTTTACATAATATGTGAGTCAAATTTGGTAACTGTTATTCCCCTTATTCATTTATTGAGATTAGATGGGGAAGGCAGAATATTTAAGGAACTGACAGTTATATCGTGCGCAAAATTCTTTAAAAAATGTCAAGATGTCAGATATATTGACCAACCTGATTGGCTAAATCTCCATACTGGATCTTCAGCAGGTCCATCGCCTTTATCATACTCTGCATTGCCATGAAGATGTTTTGGTAAACAAGCTTGATGAAACCCCTCTTGTCTTCGTCCGAATAGCCGGCACCATGGATAATACGCATCTGCTTGATGAAGGTGGACTTCCCCGACTCTCCCGTACCTGCAATGAAATGATTTACTCACAAATAGAAAAAGATATTGGAAATCAAAATGGCTGAGTATTTTGAGATAATAATAACAATATTAATATTAATAACAGTAACTATAAACGAGACTATAATAATGTTAATTTACAGTAGGTAGTAATTTCTTCATGAAATGGTGAACTATTTGACAAATTACAGCAGAGAGGTAAGTTGCACCTATTTGTTGCAAGTTCAAATATAGCATCCTGCATCTTCAAGTCTTTGCTTTAAAGTCAAATTGTTTAGGAAAAAGTAATTTATATTTATTATAAATAAAACACTAGCGTTTTATTACTTTTTCAGATATTTTATAAATTGATACGTAATTACAAAAATAAGTCTGAAGTTAGTGGTCGCCTTTCTTATATGTATATGAATATTGAGAATAAAGAGAATCTTTAAATGCTATTGCACATCCTTCATTCATACACAGGAGAGGTGTTTATACAATTCCAAAAATAAGCCCTTTTAATTTTAAAACTTTCTTAGAATAATTGTGAATGTTCCTCAACTGGATTTTTTGTTACAACAATGTTCCGTCAAGAAATTGGCAAAGTAATATTGGTATATAAATGTGCTACATTACCAATATCAACCGGTTATAATTTATTGACCAATTTTTAGTGCATTTAGTATTTATGCAGTAGCACTAATTTTAGTTGCAGTTTTAACACTTGTTTTTACTTTAAATATCTAAAGAGTAGGTATCATGTGTTTATTATCGCAGTTACATTAATCTGGCATAGGTTAAAAGTCTATTATGGTTTGTGGTTTACACATTATCAAGTTTGATATTTAACCTAAAAGTTGGTAGCCTTAAATTTACTGTATCCACCGATTTTATAAGCTACACTATCGGATACGTCAAAGGAAGGGTTGACGTTTGCCCACAAATTTTGGCATTTGTAGTCTGTCATGTGATCTTACATATTATGCATTTATCACTATCATTTATTACATATAATACTTTTAGTACCCTACTATAACAATTTAAGGAACAATTTGGGGTGGTTGCCAAAGTTACTTTGTGAAAAAAAGTTCATATAAACGTAGGTCAAAATATGCTTTGTTTTCGAGATAGTGTTTAAATTTTAATTTTTTTATTTATGTTTATTAATTATTTCAAATAGTTTTAAAGATATTGACTCGAAAATTGATAGCAACCTACAAGATAATGTATCAATAGAAATAAAAAATATACAACTTGCAATAAAATATGTTTTATTTTTTTCCTCAAAAACGATGCATCCTACGATAAAAATTGAAGAGACTAATTTCATTCAGAATTGATGGTGGATTTCTAAAAAAATATGCAAACGGGGAAAAAATCAGTGGCGTACCTTTTTTTTATTAAAAAATGTTGTGGCATTCTCGCACGAATGCCACTGGTGTAAGTAGAAATATTCAGATCCACTCCAAAAAATGCACATTTATCTCTCCAAAGCGTTTTTCAAATTTCGAGTCAATGTCTTTAAAACTTTAATATAGTGTTATTTTCTTAAAACCTGACAGAGCAACTTTTTTATTTAAAGTGATAGACTAGTACTTCCAAATGCAAAGTTGTAGCAAATAACTTGATTAAGAAAAATTTACAAATAATTCTTTCCGGTGTTGCCAGATTTCTGCAGTAGCTACTAAAACGTTATTTTTTTAAGTGGCAACACCGTATTTTTTAACATAATTTGACAAACCTTCACATTCTGAATAGAAACTGTTATGTCACATTTCTTTTTTGGAGTAGCCGTTTTTGAATAATCAGCAAAAACACATTATTGTACCGTCATTGTGTTATTTGACAGCTGTTGTATTTGAATGTGTATAAAAAATAACGTTTTAATTCAGTTGCTAAGACGAATCAGTTCCACAATCAATTCACAAGAGAAAGTTGAATTAAGTTTTAATTCCACGCAAGACATCCCGATAAGCCTCTTCCAAACCCAGAGTTTTTAAAAAATTACTTAGTAAAACTAANGGTGGTTGCCGAAGTGACTTTGTGAAAAAAAGTTCATATAAACGTAGGTTGAAATATGCTTCATTTTCGAGATTGTTTAAATTTTAATTTTTTATTTATTTTTATTAATTATTTCAAATAGTTTTAAAGATATTGACTAGAAAATTGATAGCAACCTACAAGATAATGTATCAATAGAAATAAAAAATATACAACAAAAACGATGCATCCTAGGATAAAAATTGAAGAGACTAATTTCATTCAGAATTGATGGTGGATTTCTAAAAAAATATGCAAACGGGGAAAAAATCAGTGGCGTACCATTTTTTTTATTAAAAAATGTTGTGGCATTCTCGCACGAATGTCACTAGTGTAAGTAGAAATATTCGGATCCACTCCAAAAAATGCACATTTATCTCTCCAAAGCGTTTTTCAAATTTCGAGTCAATGTCTTTAAAACTTTAATACAGTGTTATTTTCTTAAAACCTGACAGACCAACTTTTTTATTTAAAGTGATAGACTAGTACTTCCAAATCCAAAGTTGTAGGAAATAACTTGATTAAGAAAAATTTACAAATAATTCTTTCCGGTGTTGCCAGATTTCTGCAATAGCTACTAAAACGTTATTTTTTTAAGTGGCAACACCGTATTTTTTAACATAATTTGACAAACCTTCACATTCTGAATAGACAATGTTATGTCACATTTCTTTTATGGAGTAGCCGTTTTTGAATAATCAGCAAAAACACATTATTGTACTGTCATTGTGTTATTTGACAGCTGTTGTATTTGAATATGTATAAAAAATAACGTTTTAATTCAGTTGCTAAGACGAATCAGTTCCACAATCAATTCACAAGAGAAAGTTGAATTAAGTTTTAATTCCACGCAAGACATCCCGATAAGCCTCTTCCAAACCCAGAGTTTTTAAAAAATTACTTAGTAAAACTAAAAACAACTGGAAGTGTGTGCCCAAGGATCTACAAAAGGCTGAAAATCATCTTAACAACTTAATTAAAACGTGATTTTTATACACATTCAAATACAACAGATGTCAAATACCACAATGACAGCACAATAATGATGGCTCTTTTTAAACAATACAATTTTTGTTTAATATCCAAGGCCTACTATTGCTATATAAAATACGGTTTTGCCATTTAAAAAATAACGTTTTAGTAGCTCTAGCGACACCGGAAAGAATTATTTGTAAATTTTTCTTAATCAAATTATTTTCTACAACTTTGCATTTGGAAGTACGAGTCTATCACTTCAAATAAAAAAGTTGGTTTATGTCAGGTTTAAAAAAAAAGCTCTGTATGTAAGTAGTGTTGTAAGATGTGAAAAAGTTTAAAAATCACTAACACCTAACCTCAAAAATTTAAGGAAGTAAATAAATTTTGTTCTATTTACTATTTATAAAAGCGAGAGAGATATAATTTCTATTTGTTTAAAATACAAATACATTAACAATAAGAGCATGGTTTCATTGTAGATTTCTATTCATAAGTAAAACACCACAAATAGAAATATAAAAAGTAAATCTTTAGTAAAAGGAAAGGTTTCCGATCTTAATATCATTAGATAATTCCTAAACTATATTTTACTAAAATTTGTTTTACATTTACCAATTTTTGACACGGCAAATTGATACTAAAATTGGTTACTGAGGTTGTAACCCGACCCGATCATAAAAAATATAGAAAACTATTACATTTTTAGTTTTTTTTTAATTTTGAAACCAAAAAAGTCCATCTTGAATGGGTGGCATTTTTTCAAAAAATTCTCAAAAAATCGTCTTGCAATATGTAAATATATGAGAGGACAGGAGTGGTATCTTTTTTCCGAGCTTTTTTCTATTCTATTTTATTTTCGAATTTTAATTTTTATTTTAAATTTTTACAGAAAATGTACGCTATTAAACTAACTTTTATTGTAGAAATAATTATGTACTAAATTACTGATTACTAAAAATATATTTTTTAAAAATTACTAACTAAATATTCCGAATTTTTTTGTTCAATATTAGTTTCCTTGCATAATGCCTTAATACTTGTTATATTTTTGACCATTTGTATTCTGTAAAAACATCTACAGGGTGTTTTAATTAAAACTTCCCACCTGAAAAATACCAATCGGAATTAAAAAAAAAACAAAAAAAACCTTGACACGTCGATTTTCTTTTCAAGGGGGATACGTGATGGCTAAGTTTTGGTGTCAGTGATGCAAGCGCCACTTCAAAGCACTTTTTTGGTTTAAAAATTAAAAAAAAAACAAAAAACTACATCTCAAAACGAACAAAATGAAAAAAAGCTTGATATCTTTAGTTTTTGCCAAGTTACAGGTAAGTGTTTCAAATTTTTTTACCCAAATATTCAAATGCTCATAACTTCTTCAGGGGTTGAAATAAAAATTTGAAAGCTACCTACTCTAAAATATAAATGGGTAAGCACTAAATATCAGAGAATCAGGAAAATTAAAATTGACCGGGTCACGACCTCAGTGATCTGGCATGGGGATGCCCCACATGCATTGTTAGATTTAGACTAGTGTTTATATTTTTCCGGCTGATTTTGGTGATCTTTAGTGGCTTAGTTACAATGTCTTGACATTTGCTTTTATTTTATTTTAAATACAAAAAAAGCTTTACATACACATACTTGTTTTTATTACTTGTTGTTGCAGTTACATTAATCCAGATGTAAAAAGAACACGGAAATCAGTAGACACGATCCATCTTTGACGTCAGAAACCATAGACGGGAAAAAAATTATAACGTATCTGTATGTTTTATTATACTCATCTTTAAAAACATGTTAATTTAAAACCAAAGCTAAATATGCCAAAACAAAATGATCAGTTACAATAAAAAAAATCAAGTGTTCCAAAAAATATTAACATTTTCTGTTAATAACAAACTTACATAAATGTAATAAATAACAAATAACATCACAGAAGCGTCAGTGTAAAAAATATCCCGGACGTTAAACGGTATTTATTGCAAAATATTCAAGTCCTGTAAG